ATTATTAAATAATAACACATGAATAATAACAAAATTGGTAATATTATTATTAAATAATAACAAAATTGGTAATATTAAATAATAATAAAATTGGTAATAAAATAAATAGATACAGTTGTAAACAGTAATGAATTTCATTAGAACTTTCCAAAGATAAGTTTTTTATAATCGACGTATGTGAATAAAGCAATAATTTTGTTCAGTGCAGCATACTTCATTATCGAAAAATACTTTATATATTGAATACAGTTTCGAATTTCATTTCTAATACGTAAATGAGGACGCTTTCAATGTTTTGATGTCGATGGATAAACTGGCAGAATCATAAAATGCACGATAGCATCGTTGGGCTAGATTTAACACAGGTTAGAACATGTAATAATGCATTTTGTTTAATCGAAAACCAAATTACACTGAAAATACGATTTCGATAGCAACACCGTTAATGCATGGGAATGTTCTTCAGAATGCGGAAACATTGAAATCAAATGCATGAATCTTTTTAAAGCAGAACTACACTAACATGTGGGTCGGTACTCATGCGCGACAACACTCATGCATGATTACACTCACATGCAGGATTAGGCACGGCGGGAGATTACACACACAGGACTAGGCACAGGTGAGGAGGGGTCACTTACAGGTCCAAGAATAGGCACCAACGAGGGGTCACATGCAAGACTAAGCACATAAGATACCAAAACAAACATGAGTGACTCGTAACATGTGAGACAGAGCACAGTTGATAAAAAACACATAAGCACATACACGCCCAACTGGGCACAAATGAAGGAGAACTCGTACTAATCGATCACGTGCTCGCACTAATCAACCACGTACTCGCACTAATCGACCACGTTCAAAATGTTGAAACTTCTACTAATGACATTGAAATCTAGAAAGAACTTTAGACTTCTACAGCACATCAGGATGAACCCAGAAATATCTGAAACTCGTAGAAGCATTCTTTTTGATACATTTTACGACGGTATCCAAAAATTGTTCCGCGATTATGTAGTAAAAAGTTTTGCAATCATATTTTCTTTTCGATAACTTTTTTTTCTCACATTTTTCTCATCTTATCACAATTTTCAAATATATTCCTTCTCGATGTTTCTTATATAAATAAGATTAAAACGTTAAAAATTATACAATTAGTAAATTAACAAAGTAAGTTAGAACTAATAAAACAATATAAAGAAAAAATTGAACACAGATTTGACGACATCTTGACCTTTAACTCTTCTAATCATCTTAATCCTTCTAATTTCCTCACCTCTTATCCTCTTTTTATTATATTTCGATTTTCATATCTCATTCTTCTTACAAAGTACCATTCTAATATTGAATTGATCTCAATTCTTACAAAGAAAGATCAATTCCTACTAAGAAAGATCAATTCTTACTAGGAAAGATCAAATCTTACTAAGAAAGATCAATTCTTACTAAGAAGAGAGATCAATTTTTACAAAGCAAAATCTTTTGTAACTTAATAAGCAGATTTAGTCGGGTCACTTTTGCTTTTTTTGGCATTTAGACCACAATCTAAATGCATTAAACAGACATAAAATAAAATATTTAACAATTTGAATTTCTTGTTTTCGTAAAGTACCATTCTAATAATGAATTGATCTCATTGCATACGTAAATTGCTTCTGCACTGCACCTCCATCTTGGGACGAAAAAAGTCTAGCTTAATCATTTCACCATTATAAATCTACCACAATTATTCTTTCTACTTGACCTCTCTTTATTCTATTTGATCTTCGAATTCGAGAGATTTCAATTCATTTTGTTGCATATTCACATTCATATACACACACAAATACGCGTAACTACAGTAGTTCGAGACTAAATTGTGATACACTCACTGTACAATTGTGGCACAATGCAGGGCTATACATTAATTAGGGTCAGAAGAAAAAAGAGATATCCATGTAAAGGCTTTGTAATACTGATATAATCTGAAGTACAAGTTTTATAGCAGCCATAAATTTATATGAGTAAATTCTCAGAAGTCTACCATTTCTGGAAAAGCAATACATTTGCTACTTTTTATTAGGAAAACACACATTTTGCAATTATTACTTTTCGAAGAATGAATTTCATTTTACTAAATTCGACGCATGTTAGTTGAAGCCAACATGAGATGTCGTTTCTGCTTACAGTGTACGATGCCTCGAATACAGTACCTTTCCGATCTAATAATTGGTAGTTATCAGTGCGCGTCAAGATTCATTGTATCTGATAATTTAATGACAGGAAAAATACATAACGCGGATCAATTTATTATACGCAATATATCCATCTCACAACTTGTCTACATTGTCTGGAAAGCTGCCCGTAAAGGTGTACTTACCACCAACGAATAAATGTCTCGCTGGTGATAAGATAGATGATAATAGCAAACGACTTTTTGTGTCATGTCTACGACCATACCACGTTGAAAGCACGACATCTCGTCCGATCTGTCAAGTTAAGCAACGTTGGTCCTGGTTAGTACTGGGATCGGAGACGGCCTAGGAATCCAAGGCTTGTAGACATTTTGCATTCATAGTGCAACTTTTTGGATATCAAAAAATATGATCAATACTTTCTGGATATCAAAAAACTGCGAATTGGTATGTGAACAGAAAAGTGAAAATAAACAAGCAAATAAGTACGCCTGAAAGTATTGACTTGCACGTTTGTGAGCATCAGAAAATTGCTTTTAATGAGTAATACTGCTGATTAAATTTATTCTTTACTTTTATTAGTCATTTTTGGATCACAGAAATTTGGTACGAATTCATTTACGTCACGTTTGACAGTCTTATGACTTCTTAAAAAATGCGTACAAACTGCCCTATACACATCAGAACTAGAATGAATTGTAATATGGACGCCATCAAATAATAGAATATATTATTTGGCAGTTCACTTTTTTCAATTATGAATCAATCAATACTTAAAGTAATCTTTGAGAACAGAAAACCTACAGATTTTATCGGTGAAATATGAAATCCGGTTTGCAAATCTACTGCAACTATTTTTTCTCTTTGACCTTCAAATCTGAGAGAGCTCAGCTCATTTTGTTGGAGATTCACATACATATATACACACACTAGTCCTTCCATCCCTTTACTAGCAACAATGATTAATTACTGTTCCATTCAATCGTCTTTTAGGTTAGTCTTCACTCTTTTCATCACATCTGTGAGCTTTACGCCTTTTTGACAGTCTCCAATTGCTTTCCTCTCTTTTGATTAATTACACACACACACAGATGCTCTCTACTCCATCCATCTGTTGTGATTCGGTCAATTTTGAATCTTGTGTTAGAATGCTATGAACAGTCTAAGGAATAATTTTCATTTGGGCTATTTTATTTGTCTATAAAACTTCGAACTCTTAATATTAAGTAGTGTTGTCGAAGCATTTATTGCTACCATATCCTTTGCATATTTAAATATCATTAATAATCGTAAATGGCATGCTAATTTATTGCAGATCGAAATGAGCTATTTAAAAGGCCAATTGATTGCAAGAAGCAGTTTTATAAGGTTTGTTAAGATCTCGAGATGATACTAATTCCCCTAGCTACAGTAATCTTTGTAATGCGTCCTACGGTATGCGAAGAACCTTACAAGGATTACATTTGCTTAGAATATCTTTACAATTGTACGGATTCTGTGCTACGGAAAAAGATTGAAACGGTAGACGACGAACATTTTTGCCCTGGTATTGAGAAGAGTCTCGATTGCTTGGCAAACAAAGTAATAACTTTTCATGAACTCTGCCAGATAATCTCCTTCAATGTAAACAAATGTATGCTTAGCTCAAACAATTTATGGAACGTTGTCGTTACTTGAACGAATGAAATAACGAAAACGCCAAACACGTAAAAGCAGAAGTTATTATTACTTTTGAAGGTTAATGAATAAGCATATAGAGTACTGTAGGAAAACTGTTTGGTCGCTGGCAGATTATTGTAAACAGTATTCCCTCCAAATGCTAAAGTTTTTCAGCAAAATGTTAAGCCTCCGGCAGACTTTTTGTCAAGACGACACGCTTTGGAAACCTGCCAAAATAAACAGAGTAAATATTATGATGTATGACTCGAAGTTGTTATTATTTTGCTTTTTTTTACTGTTATCTACCCACTATTCTGTATTTCAAATTTCCATTACAAAGTGAGCTATAAGATTTCGCTCAAAATCATTTGGGACAAAATTTCAAATATAGTCTTCTATACAACACTACTGTGCATTTGATCAGTGCTAAAAATACAGGTTGATCACCAATCTCACTTAATTAAACGAACTGACAATCTTATCGAACGATATAAAGAAGTCTGCTCACTCCCATTAGCCTCTGCGCTTGGATTGGAAGGATGTCCTTTGTAAGTTGAAAATTCTTCACACCCTTCTTACTTTCGGAACTTCACTTTATTCTTAGCTCGGACTTCTTCATATTCATTGATTGCTTTCATGAGCTAACATAAATTTTCAGTCAAGTGGTGGAATATTGCCTCGTTAAAGCAAATGGACCTCCATTTTGCAAAAAATCAAAATGCAAGAAAGTAGATTTGGTTAAAGTATTTGGCGCAAAAGACGAAGGGAAGAAATCACAGAAGAAAGGATCGGCTGATTACTCAGATGAAATTGACTTAGCTGCATCGAACCGAATCAATCCTCTACATTTTCTGATAACATTAGTGATAATCACAATGTTTACTACTGGTACTTTGACCTATTGATTGCACTTCTAACAAATGTATATTACTGCATATACTCGTACAAATTAAATTAAGGAATATGAACTCGAATTCTTTTTTTGCATTGTTCTTGTTTTTGAAGTTTCTGCGGAAAAGTGTAGAACGAGAAAGTGAGATATTGAGTCATAGTGCTACGTGTCTATGTGTATTGCGGTCACTGTTTTTTGGCTAATCAATCAACTCCCACTAAGATCGCCGCTCGAACTTTATCGTAGATTCCACGAGTAGATGCACTACTCCTGTCTTCCACAAGGGTGCTTGAGCTCCTTCGAAGAGTACCGCCTTATCAGCGCATCTCTCAGTGTTAGTGACTGACTTTCTGAATCACAAGGTAGCACAGATCGGATGACAACGAAATTTCTCTTTTTTAAATCATTCATATATTCAATATTTTGAATCTGTTTCTTTCTTTTTCCTCAATCGTTTTCCTATCAATTCTATCTTTCTCTCATTTTCACTCTTTTTCTCAAAACTCTGCCTTTTTATTTTTCTTCAATTTTCAGCTCTCTTTTTCTTTAGTCCCTTCATTTTTAAGTTTGTGTCATCTGTAGCAAATCACAGAATCACGCAAGACATTAAGAACTGACATTTACAGAGAACGAAGCACAAAACATCTGATACCTGACTATCGTTATCAGCTAAAAATTCTCACATTTGTCATCTGCTTAACATTTTTCTTACGATTCAGCCCTATCCTTATGCTCTCAAACAACCGGTCATTATCTTTCAGAAATATACTGATCCCACAACTAACAGCCATAACACACACTAATATTAACAAAAATTGGAAGCACTCGAATTTACATCTATAAAACATGAAAATGCACCAACTTTTCAAAGAATTCGGCACAGTAGAATCCTTCGAATTACTATGGGAATCGATCGTCCTGGTGAAGTCGGCGTAAGAGGACTGAAGCAACCGAATGCTGCTACTCCACCTGACCCGACAAATCCAAGCGCCTTCGATAAGGAAATGAAGTCCGTCCAGCAGCTTTGTTAGCAACTTCCTTGTCTGCTCGTTGATATACCACACCTCATTCAGAAACTGAAATATGAAGACTGACACATCTACCTACTCACCATTAAGAGTAGAGTAAGTTTTTTTATAGCAGAAACTATACCAGTGAGCAGAGCCAAAACTGTCTTGCTATAATGAGTAAATCAAATATTGTTTTGTTACATACAACGCACTACGTCATTGTAATGGAATCCACGTAACTGGTGGGATTGTTGAGGAAATAGTATGATTAGTGAAGTCTACTCATCAGAAATGAACAATCTCAATTCCTTGCCTCTTATTATCAGACTTACTGATGTCGTGAGATAAATTTCTTCAAGTTTTGCATCAAATGATAAGTCATGTTTGATTTCCAGATTGGCTTATTCAATAAAGATCATTTGTATTTCATTTACGCAAGTATCGATCACGACGGGGTACCTCCAGTGTTCCAGTCAATCCCGGAAGATCTCGAAAAAATATAAATTTTTATAACAAAACATTTCAAGAAGTCTGCAGAGTCGATGATAGTTGTTTTTGTAGTTATGCAGTTTTTTATGCAAAATGTGTCTTTCACACTGTGGCGGGAATATATGTGTCTTTACACTTCAACTAAATATTTGAAATGAGTTGTTTACTTCTTTCTGATTGAATAACAGAGTTTGACAAAGAGCTAATTAAGAAAGCATCAAAGGCAAGCTAATATTGATGGTATCTGACAGAATAAATGCACTGCGATATAAGCATATTTAATAATATCAACAAATCTAAGTACTTTGCGATAGCTTATATGGATATAATTATTCTTAATATTATATACTTTTTTAAGATTGTTTATTACGTACTTTATTTTACTATACGTTATATTAGGATTATATTTAGAATGAACTAGTTTAATTATAATGTAAACAATACACTTTAATTACAGAAAAAGCGGTGCTACTCTTTTAGCAAGCGTACTCACATGAAGCGAAATGAGTTATGAATATTCATAGTAATCAAATAATTGATAACAACCTTGTCTTTATCAGAACATTATTACATGTCGTCAATTTATCATTCCTTTAAGATTTATTTGATTATTTTTACATACACAACTTGTAAAATACTGATGTGTGTGTGCTTATTTCAAGTTATAATTTGAAAAGTACCAAAAAGTTCGTCATGAAAAGTGTCAGATTTTAGCAATGAAACATAATAACAAATCGCTTAATATTTAAATGTTACAACCATAAAAATTTCTGCTTGTTAAACTTCATCACTTATTACGCGTGCAAAAGAATGCTAACGACTAATATGCGCCATAATTGCGCTGATCTGACAAATTATTTCAACTATTTTAGTAACGCAAATTCTTATTTATTTATTTATTTATTTTTGGAATTATGTCTAAAGTTTGTGGTTTGATTGTTGTTTTTTTTTAATAATTTTAGTTATGGTGAAAATGATTTCCTTTTATTGCGTGCTTTGAGAAATTGCAATTTCCGTAAACAACGATACAGAAAGTTGTGTTTTCTTGTACAAGTACTTCAGACTATCTTCCACAATGTCCCTGGAATTTCTTCAACCTTCTACAATGTTAACGGTGTGCAAGGCAAAACCTGATTAAGACGTCTGAAACAGCAATGGTACTTGCACTCCGATATCACCAAGTTACGCTACTAGGATGCAAACCTCAACTTCACGTGACACACAGTCTCTCCGCTCCATTCATCTGCTGTTATTCGGCCAGTTTTGACTTAAATTGCTACGAACAGTTTAAGGATTAATTTTCATGTAGGCTATTTTATTTGTCTATAAAGCAGTTGTATTTCTTCAATATTCGTGAATAATATATTACTAATTTCGGAGAAGAACAAATTTATGGGCAAAATTTTGTGGCCATAAAGTTTGTTTGAGTACATTATTTAAATTAAATGACCTAAAGTTTGTGATATTGGAATTATTAAATAAGACGTGAAAAGTTAGATATACTAAAGAGAGTCACATAAAAATGCTTAGAATGTTTAGATTATACAAATAATTTTTCTTGCAGTTTGTATATACAACGATTGCTACCTGGATATTATTGCATGAATAATACATGTTTCTTGAAAATTCACTTCACTGTTTAAGAGTAGGTACATTGTTTTATCTGCAATTGAATTTTTTGTACATCAGTATCTAGCAAAAAGACAAACTAAAAACCAAAATTTCCATTAATTTAACTGAACAAGTAATTTTGGCGTGTAAACTTATACGTAGCAACCACGATGTGTAATTGACGATGGAGGCCTATGCAGATTGATTGAGGTGAAATGGAAAATGAATAAAACTTAAATTGACACTTATGGAAAGCTTTAAGCTTGATATAACTGAATCAAAATCAATGAAATAGAAATTAA